AGTACAAAGCTCCCCAAAAGGGAGGGGGCCTGAGAGGGTTGTCCCCCCGCCCCCAGAATTTTCTAAGTCCAAGGGTTTTTATGGTCTTGGCGGGCTGTTTTAATCTGATTAACCCTCCATGCTCCTGTCACCCAATCAGGTTTCTGTCCACTCACTCATCTACATATCAGGTAGTTGTTCATGTGGGAAAGGGTGGAGGGCTCCTTCCAGGGTGGTGTAAAATCCTCTTACGCGTGGTTTCCTCTCAAGGCAGGACTCCTTGTCCCTGCCTGCCTTTCTTTGGACTATCCCTCATTATGGGCACTTCTCATCCCATGTTTCTAGCAGGCACAGTAGTAAATACCCACATTTCCTTTTCCTGTGAATTTATTTCAAGGTCAAAATGAGACTGGGAGCATTGTTTTTTGTTACAGAACCTAATTGAACTTGAGCACATGACATTGTTCCTAAAAATATGTCAGGGTATGTTTCAGCCAGTACAAGTAGCTAGATATCTTACACAGTATTTGCACTTTTTATATATTTCTCTGAAAAATTAACATTTCAGGTTGTCCAATTTAAACTGCCAAAAAAACTGTTATCAAAAACAGAAAATCTGGACACTTGATCTATAAAGATGCACCATTAAATAATTTCTTTGTTCTCATCAAAAGTTGAAAGGATTGAGGAGCAGCTATGAGCTCAGAGGGAGGAAAAGATGAATGCTTCCAGCAATGACATCTTGCTGAGAAGGCAGGAAAATAAGAACTTGATGATTAGATGGTTCGGGTCAGGGGGAGGAGGGTGTGGCCTGGCTTGGGTGGGTCACATTGTTCCCTAAGGCCCTTCTTTGCTGGCTGCAGACCAGCTAGGACATCCATGGGTGCCCAGAAGATCAAGAGAGATAGCCTTGATTGTGTATTGGTTTGGGGATGATGCAGAGAGTGCCTTAAATTTCCATTACACACCCCATGTCCCTCCCAGTTGTTCATACAGTACATATGAAAAGAGGCCTTTATGTTCAGTTAAAACCTTTCACTTTGTGGATTCAGGACAGAGGGACATGAAACATTACAGTATTTTTCAGTGCTTATATCCATTACTGAGATTTCTACTGATATTGTTTGGATACCAAATTAAAGCCCAAATTTATAAACAGTAGAATACATTTAAAAACTTAATTGGACATCACAATACAGATGCAATTTCACAAAATCCAAATTTCAATTTCCTCTCTTTCACTTGTTTCAGACAATACCAGATAGACAAGTGTGTAGAATGGGTAGTGGCTTGAAGCCTTCCCAAACCTCATTGCCTGTCTCATGTATATCTCAATACTTAGAAGATCTTCTAAAAGTAATTTTGGTATGGAATAGCAACCATTTATGTTACTATTTTTTGAGCATTTGCTATCGTTTAGGCACTGTACTTTATATATATTATTTCATTTTCCCCTCTTAACAGTCTTAAGATGTAGATACTATTATAGTCACTGTTTACAGATGAGAAAAGTGCAACAAACAGATGTTAATTCACTTATCCAGAGTCACACAGCTGGTACATGTGGGAGCCTGGATAAGTAATGGGAGCTCAGTGAAAAAATTCTGTGGAAAAGGGGAATATATAAAGATAACAATAAAAGTCTCCCATTATTATAGCACTGGAGGGCAAACACCATTTTCACTGTGGTAAATTTATTTATAGTTTCTCCTCTACAGCATATACATGTACAGATATACATAAAATTATGTGATTAAATGCAAAAACTAAATTATATACATACATAATTTTAAATTATATATATAACAAGTGGTCATTTACATATAGACTTGTTTATACTTTTAGTTTTATTATAAACTTATGAGTAAATACTTTTATAACTGAAATTTATAAATAAGCATAAATTTAACATCTTATAGTGTGTATTTTTTATAATAAATTTATATAAAATCATTTTAAAGATTTTAAAAATCAGAAAAAGTGCAAGGAAATAAAAACTGTCCATCACAGGCTTTACCACTCTTAAAACTTTTAAACTTACCTTGATTTTATGAATATATAGATTCACATATCTGAGAGCTGACCACATATGCTATAGTCTGTTCTTTTATTTTTTTCAGTATTTTGAAGTTAGTATTTTCAAGCTTATTCCTTGAAGTCACTATTTTCAGTAGACATCTAGTGTTCCAAACTTTGAATGCAACATTAATTAGCTTCACCATTTTCCTACTGGTAGCTGATGTGGCTTCAACCGCATGGTGTTTTGCATTACTCACAGGTGATTCTCTACCTTTAGATCCCAACTTCTCAGACTGTAAAGTGCACAGGAATCCTGTGGGAACCTTGTGAAATGAGATTGTCATTCAGTAGGACTAGTTAAGGTTTGATTTTCTGCATTTGTAAGAAGCTCCTAGGTGAAGTGGATGCTGCTGGTCCATGAATCAAACTTTGAGTACCAAGGACTTGGAGTACTTATCTACATAATTTCATTTTCAAATATGCCATAATAACCCATATAAGCAGTGATGCCTCAATATATCGAGCATTAGCCTTGCTCCAAGCACTTGTAAGAGCTTTATATGTATTATTGACATTACTCTTCTCAACACCTCCTTCGGGTTAATATGTTTTCTATTTTAAAATAAAGAAAATGAATCAGAGATATGTTATGCAATGGGGAGGTTGGCTATATAATAAAGGGTCATTGAAGAAACACTGAGAAATAGGGAAACCTAAAACAACAGTAAATGTCACTCTCAGTGTATCATTCTAGAGTGGTGATTGAGAAATGTTTTCTGTAGAGGGCCAAATGGTGACATTTTAGGCTTTGTGGGTCTCTGCCACAACTACTCAACTCTACCATTGCAGTGCAAAAGCAGCTACAGACAATTTGTAAACATATGGACAAGGTTGTGTTTCAGTAAAACTTTATTTACAAAACTGGGGGTTGCTAGGTATAGACATAGTTTGCTGACTTCCTGTTCCATGGTAACCATTATGATAAATTGTAGTGTTTAAGTTTTTGTTTTTCCTGGGAGATACAGTGTGGTAATATTATTCCACAGAAAATTATAAATATATAACAATATTAAGTATCTCTTATATGTATAGATATTGTTATATGAACAATCTCATTAAATGTATAAATCAATAAAATATTGACTGTTATGTATACATAATAGAAGCTTTTTGATAAAATGTACAAAATCTGTACATGTACCAAGAAGAATTAAAAACACCTATCCTTCCAGGAATATCCACTCTTTAAATTTTAAAGAATTCCTTTGCATTTGTTCTTTTTATGTATTTGAGAGCTTACTACATATAAACCGGTTCTGTATTTGACATTTTCCTTGCTCATGTGTGGTGAATATGTTCAAGTTTACTCATAATTGATCAGAAAACATGTTTTTAATGGCTCCATAATATTTTGTCACTTCAAAGCCTAATAGTTAAGGTGCCCTCTTCCCTCCTGTTCATCACTGTAGTGTTTCCCTGTTGTGTGTTGAAAAGTCAGGGTGGCTCCATCTCTTGAGATCCATCTCCAGGTAGCCACATTAATCGAATTCTGTTCTTCTGAGTATCAAATGAAGTAATCTGTATTTAGCACAGATAGTGTGAGAAGCTTAATCCCTCTTTTCATTCCCTTCTTTCTGGAAAGGGTTCATGTTCTCTGACTCTATATTCCATTCAGGGGTCTTACTTTGTTTCTGTAGACACCTTAGGGGATAGGTGAGGCCCTGTTGAGATTCAGGCCCTCAGGTTCCTCCTTTTGGGGACCCATCCCAGTCAGGAATCATGATGGACAGGGCGTGGGATGCAAGATCCTGAGTTTGCCCTTGGGAAGGGGCTGACACTGCTGTGGCAGGAATTCATTCTGCTTCCATAGCATCTCTGCGCTTGATAGCACCACCTGATTCTTAGAAGGAGAAACAGTGAATGTCATGATCTCAGGAACTAGAGGTAAATGGTAAGCATGGCAACTATGTGATCAGATATCCGTCTTACCAGAGGCAACAAATTTTTGTGAAGTAAAGGTTTTTCCTCATCCTTTGAAAGTAGACTCCCAAGTGATGGGAGGGCATTTTTATATTTTCACACATTATAGTGTGTGTTTCCTTATTTCTTGAAAACTCACAACCATCCAGTTACTAATCACAAAACTCAATTCTCAAGAATTATCTTTTATTTTATTAATTTGTGAGGGACATTGCCTTTCTTTTCTTTAGAGATGTAGGAAGGGTGTATTATCTTTCTTTTTAACCATCTGATCCTTATTCAGGATCTTTCGTTTCTTTGTAGAACATTGGAGAACAAAGTCAGAGGCATATCCACCAGGTTGGAGGCACCTGATGTGCTCAGGGGTCTCTTCCAATGGAAGAGTGCTGGTTTTCTCCCAGCATTGATCCCTGAATGTGGAATGAGGTGCCGCTTCTACCTCTAGGATACAGGATTTATACCTTGTTTCTCCTATACACCAAATACCTGATGTTTACTTCAGGATTTAATGGTCACTGGATTCCTTCAGGATGGCCACAGACACTAATAAAGGACATACAATTTTTACATCTGACAGATCATTGCACCTCTGAAAAACTGTAATTGTGGTGAATAAAATCAGTAAGTAATAACAACCAGAAATATTTATGTAAAATGTATATCCCTTCCTGTCTTCATTCTGAATCATTCAAATACTAGCCTTCCCTGCCTCTACAGTGAAATAACAGAAAAATGGATTTTTCTCTGAACCATCTGCCCTGTATCTTCATAGTTTCTGGGCAGCTGAATTTAGTGGGAAATGGTGTCAAATTGCTATAATTTGGACCACAAGTGCTGATATTACGTGGGGCTCACTGTGTGAGCTGAAGCTACAATGTCTTCCTGCAAACCTCAGGAAATACTGCAGAGCAAGCGGGTCAGACTGGGCGCTCAGCTGTGCAGCCCCTGTGGTTGCCCATATTGAGAAGGACGGGGTGGGTCAGACCTGAAGATGGTTCTTGTGCAGCTTCTCTTGGCAACACTGATGCTGTAGATCTTATTCCAGCTGCTACAGTAGTACATGGCCTTGTCTTCTTTCTCTAGAAAATTTATTTCAACGTTGAAGTGGAAGTGCCAGCATTTTTACTTGCCTCAAGTTTGTTGTTCTTCCCACATAAAGAAACTTGAACATGGTTTGTTATGACATTTGTTAGATGTTCTATCTCCTGATCTGGTTTCTGCCAGTACCAGTATATGGTTTCACTGTTAAAGTCCTTAGCAGACACCTTGCATAATATGTGGGCACTCTTATCTTTTTCTCTGGAAATTGATATTTCAGTTTGCTCCAACGTCACCTGCCCAAGGCCAACTGCAAGCAAAGAAGAGAAATTCCCATAAACAAATGATATGGAAAAAATTTCTTGAGTCTCGCCTGTAGACTGAAGTGACTGGGGGACAACTCACAGGCCCAGAGGCAGGAGAAGATGACTGCTTCTAGCAGTAGCATCCTGTTGGCCTGGCTGGGTCCCCAGTGACAAGGTAAGAAGTGAGGTCCCTATTAGCAGGACTTGTCATGTCAGTCGCTGGAGGTCAGGGCTGGTTCAGGTTTCTCAGTAGTTCCCTGGGGTTGTTCATGATCAGCCACAGATATGAGCAGATTTGGGGCTTTCTGTGCCCCATGAGTGCTGGGCAGATGGGGTAAGAGGGCTCCCAATCTGGAAAGAAATTCCCGGTTTGAATGTTTCCATCTGAGTTTGGCAGGATGGTTCTCACACCCACTCAGCCATTTCCCCTGGAATCCATACTGCAGAAACATTGCTCAGAAACATGAGGACAGACCTCCTGTGTTCAGCCTCTGTGTCTGTCTGTCTCTGATTTGCTGTTGATTTGAGACTCAGATAGGATACCTGACCTTTACACTTTGTAACATAGCACAACAAAACAATAATCAGACACTGAAATATCTCACTGATGTTACTGAATATGCCATGTGCACAAGCACCAGAGTATTTTGTGTTTTCTAAAGTTAACTGAGATGTCACCAGACAGATTAGGACTCAGAGAAATCAAATTTCATTTATAACTGGGGTGCTTCCAAGAAGCGACTAGGATGTAATTGCTGGGGATACAGGGGTCAGAGCAGTCTCTGGAAACCAGCTTCTATTCGCCCTGGGCCTTGCAACTAACTGTCTCATGAACATCATGTTACAGGCATGATCATTTTCAAAGAAACGTTGTATTTCATATCTAATGATAAGCTTTATAATTAATATACATCTAATATCTATTGTGGACTTGCAATTTGTCAGGCATTGTTTTAAAACATTTCTTGTACTATTTTATTTAATCCTCTCCACAGCCCCATGTGATAGCTGTTATGATTAATCTCCACTTCACAAAAGAGGACAGTGAAAAAGAGAAGTGACTCATGCAAAGATACAGAGCCAGTAAATATGAGAACACATATAAGTAAGAGTTGTTCCTTGAAGAAAATATGAAAAAAAATGAGATATAAAAATAACAAGACCAGGCACCCATCATTTACCATTACTTTGAATTTTTTTTACATATTTACAAATAGAAGCAAGCTTGCTTGGAATTTTATATATACATGTACACTTTAAAGTGAGATTTGCATATTTGGCTTTGTATTTTCTTTATTTGGTTAACTTATTATTGTGAGCAATATTGCAATTCTTTAAATTATCTATGAGAATATTATTTTTAAGTGCCAGAGTTAATTAAACACCCTCCTCTACCACTTAACCCATTTAGTTAACTTTGTGTTTTGATAATTTATCCGGTCCTTAAAATGTTATTGTGTATGTTTTTAATGACCTATGAAAATAGGTACCCTCCTATACTACTTACTGCTTTGGATGGTGGCTGAGTTATTTAATTATTTCATATCTGAGTGTCTATATCTGTAATTGCCACAATAAATATGTTTCAGAAATTTAATTATGTTATCACTCTAAAAATGATAATGAACATAATGTACATTCTATGCCTGGCAATAATATGTGCTTTTTATGTTTTCAAGTTATATTTTTATTATTACTGAAAAACAGGAAAAAGACTTTGTTAAATAATGTTTTAGTTGTGGGGTGCCTGGGTGGCTCAGTAGGTTAAGCGTCCAACTCTGGATTTTGGCTCAGGTCATGATCTCAGGGTTATGAGATCCATCCCTGTTGGGCTCCACATTGAGCCTGCTTAAGATTCTCTCTCTCCCTCTCTTTCTGCTCCTCCCCCCAACTCACACACTAGCTCTCTCTCGCTCTCTTAAAAAAAAGAAAAATAATATTTTAATTGTAAAAATTATTGTAGTCCCTTTCTTGAAAATGTATAAAAGCAGTAAAAGAATAAGGGAAGAAGTAACCCATCCACCCTCTAAGGGAAAAAGGCTATTTTAAAACTCAGATATTCTAGGGGTGCCTGGGGGGCTCAGTCGGTTAAGTGTCCAACTCTTGATTCACCTCAGGTCCTGATCTCAGAGTCATGATCTCAAGGTCCTGAGATTGAGCCCTGCATCAGGCTCTGTGCTGAGCATGGAGTCTGCTTTGTTCTAGGCACCACCAACATCTCCTTTCATGGGTACTATTTGTCATGGTTTAGCATAAGCAGAGGAAGGGCTCCAGGTGACATGACCTCTGTGGGAGAATAAAACTATGCCAGCTACAAATTTCCAAAACATCATACTTATTGAACATTTTGATTTCTTACTTTAGTCCATGTACAAGGTTTTGACCACTCTCCATGTTGCTGATCTACGATATTTTCTGCTAAAGCAAGTTCACAATACAGAGAAGATGCGTGATTTTTCTTAGTCTTTTCCCCTCCACTAGCAGGTAGGGTTCTGGGGAAGACTGTCCACAATGGGAACTCTTCCAGATGTCTGCCTGCTGTGCCCCTTTCACCCTGGCTTCTTGAATGACCAGTCATTCTGTCCTGACCAAGCTCTGCTGGGCTGGGCAGCAGGAGTGGGACCACCTGTGTTTATCCACAAATGCCAGAGTATATTCTTGTAAAGTTAACAAACACTAAGGGAATTCAAAATGACCCAATAGTGCAATCAAAACAGCATGGACTATGTATTTGGAAACATATCTGTTCCTCTCTAAGCATCAATTCTTTCTTCCATAAAATAAGTTTATTTACAGATTTTTATGATGATCACATGATTTCCTGGACAGACACAACATTTAGCTCATTATCTGGCAGACAATGGAGCTAAATGGATATCAATTCCATTTTGTTCATTGCCAGCACATTCAGGCTGAGCTTTCATACTTACTGAAAATCTCTGGGGAATGAAATACTGCACTTTGCTTCTCTCTGAGATAATCAGACCATTTCAACATACACAGTCTCTAAATAGGAACCCAAGTCAATACCAGACATTTGAGTGCATGGTTAGTGACATCTGTGGGTGTATAACTGATAGCCATCAGACTCCCTTTCCTCTTTCCTCTGCTACCAAGGTATTCACCAGAGAGGCTCAGGAAGTAGTGCAGGCTGAGGCTAAGGCCCAGTCAGGGCTGAGGTCTGGGCTTGGAACCAGTGTTGCTCAGCGTTGGGAAGGATGTGGTCACAATCATAACGTGGGGGGAGGGTGTGCTTATTAACTTGGCTGTAATGATACTGTATGTCTAGGGGCCTTTATATTAGGTCAAAATCATGTCCTCTTCTTCTGTGCATTTTATATTAAGGATCAAAGAGGAACAGACAGAAATTTATGTGCCTCATGGTTGTATTTCTTTGTCTGTAACTGATCTTGAACAAGGTTTTTTTTCCAAGGAATTATCTGATCCACAAAAACCTGATTTGGTGTTTTGTCAGTACCTGTGTGTATGAAGAGTTAAATCTGGATACTCTGCAGTGAAAATGTCATTTCTCCTATTGAAATAATTTTTTTCAATTGCTTTAATTATAGCTGTGCATGTGCAACTATAAACAAAAGAATAGCATTTCCAAAAAAAAAAAAGCCAAATTTGTCAAAGAATAAAACATTAATTTTTTAAAAATCCTTCAACCAATCTGAGAAGTAAGGGAACACATTCACATTCCCAGAGGGAAGAGCAAATGAATATTTGTAGCCATAACATCCTGTCTGCTCAGGCTGTATGCCCAAGAAGATGAGGAAGAGACAGAGAACCTGGAACATGAAAAAGAGGGAGTCTGCCAGAGTGTTAACAGTAGAAATGGGTGTCTCAGGGCCCGGTGCCCAGATCAGTCATATCTGAGATTGCTCTTATGGTCAGCTTTACCCATATCTATCTGATACCAAATGAGAAACAAGCAGTCCATTTACTAAGGTAAAAGTTACCGCTAGGATAATTCTTAGGAAGATTATTATTTCAAGATTATTTAGTTGATTTCAGTAGGAAAGTTGGCCCACAAGTTACCAAGATGACCTGACATCACCTTTTGACTTCTTAGGTGAGAGTCATCACTGGTCTCTCTGCCCACCTAACCCACAGGACACAGGTCAAACACTTCCAAGACCCTTTATACAGACCTCGGCTCTGAATCTACAGTGGCCTCAGGGCCTGGGAGTCTCCTTGTTTGGTATGGAAGTGGGAGAGCTGTCTCCCCACCACTTCACTGGAAGAAGAGAGAGGTTGCCATGACACTCCCAATTGTACTCTTTAGAGAAAGTCTCCATGGAATCAATGTCCCCAAGGATTTAGGCTCTCCTTGTATCTGGGCTGGATGTAGCTCAGGAGCCCAAGATTGGAGTTATCAATTTTGTCCATCTCCTAAGGTAGCTAGGCCAGGGTTTCTCAACTGCAGCATTATTGACATTTTGGGCTCAATATTTGTTTGACATGGGGGTGGGGCTGTCTTGTGCCCAGTAGGACGTTTAGCAGCATTCCTGGCCTCTACTCACAAGATCCCCAACCTTTTGTGATGACCAGAAATGTTTTCAGACACTGCCAGTATCCTCTGGAGGCGGGATTGCACCCAGTTGAGAATCACTGGTCTAGGCCCCTTCCTGTAGGATACAGGCATACGTTCTTACTCTTGTCTTGAGCTTGAGCCTCATCCAGCCAAGAATGGGACAAAATGAAGCTACCATTAAACATCCAGCACACAAAAGTTCTGTTTACTCATGAACAACATCATTAATATTCTTCATTTATGTTCTCTGTCTTTGGTGATTTCTCTCCCTTATCTGGGTGAGTAACAGCAAATGACTCTGTCACTTTGTTAGCATATAGGTTCTGCCTTGTTTGACCAGTTCTTTCTGTTACTTTCATAAAACCTGTGCTAAATATCACTTTTGCTACATCAGCTATATGTTTTATCACTGTTAAATTTCCCTACTGCATCAAGCATGGTGACTTCCCTTTGGTGAGAGCTCCTTAGATATTGGTTATCATTAAATGATAATTCATATTGTAGATCTTATTAGAACAAATGAAAGATGTTAAAACTATAAATCTTTACTTTAATATGGTATTTACAATTTCCAAAACATCTATATTCTTTAGTTCATTTTATCTA